GCAATCCATACACACATCAATTGTGTAAAGCGCATTTGTACATCATTCTCAAAACATTTTCTCTCCACTTAAACACCCTCTCTGACTGAATTTATCCAAGATATTTATATGTTCTAAAATTGGCAACACTTGGCAGATGCTTTATCGTATACAGAATAATATATTGGCGAAATACTTTTAGAATCAACTTTATTATGGAAACCTCCTTTTGTGATAGATTTTGAAAGGAAATGAGTATGAGGGTGTCACAAAGTGTTGCTGTAACATCATAAAAATCTTTTATTAAAAGCAGAGTGGTAAGCTCTTGGTTTTTTTGATATATTTTCTATGTAGATCTATATACGTTGAAGGCAGTGTTTCCGTCTCTTACTCTTCCCCAAATAATTGTTTTCTTTGATTTATACCACATCAAAACATTAGTTTTGGCATACTAAAGGGACTCAAATAATATTTTTTTGAAATTTTCTTTGGGTTTTGGGAACTAGAAGTTTAAGAGGTAATATCAGACTGTGGAATGGATGGGGTAAGTCTTCCCAAGATGGGAGAAAATATCTTGGAGGACCTAAATTTCCAGGCCTTTTTCTCAACAATGCAGTTTCTAGTTTGCTTAGTACTTCATAAAAGGTGTCATGATTGTCCGGTATCCTTCTAGAAAAGCTACCAAAATTATCTCTTTGATGTCCAAAAAAACCAGTTAACTTAATGTTCTGAGCTGACCTCTCTGCCTTGAATTTGATTGGACCTTTTCCTTTTATTTTTTTAAAGGCACCCTACCTTTTTTTTTTTTTTTAAGGCACCCTAATGAGACTCAGACAAATATGTTTCTGAAATAATTCTTCGGCAGCCATCTATTGATTGCAAAGACATGTTTAAGCTCGTTTTGTTTAGAATTAATTTACATGAACCGAAACCCTAGTAGCAGCACTTTTTTTTTTAACTTTCCTATAACTTTTAGCTTGTCACACAGCATTTCATCTTGCCTCCTTCCGTATGTTTTATCTCCTTTTCACACAAATATTGCCCTTCTAGAATTTTTTGGTTCTTAAACCTCATTGTAAACCCATTAAATGCAAGTTTATTCACATGGAGTCCTGGAGACACAGTGGTTAATGGTTAAGCATTCAACTGCTAATGGATAAGGTTGACAGTTCCAATAGGGGAGAAAGATGTGGCAATTGGAAATCCTATGGGACAGTTTTACTCTTTGCCATAAGGATCCCTGTGAGTTAGAATCCACCTTTGAGGATTTTGTTTGTGTCAAACACTGCCTCCCAAACAAGCATACTTTCCTTTGAACCTAGAAAATATGTTTTATCATAGCTGGGAAAAGTCATCTTAGTCAGTTCTTTCAGCAGATGGCACTGTTGAGTTAGCTCAGAATGCCTAGATTTCTTTGTTCATGGTTTATACTTCAGTACTTTCTGAACGATTAGTTCTATGATATGACATGCCCTCTATATATAGTTAATGAGTGAGAGAAGCTATATATTTTTTAAAAAGCTATAATGTTGATTGAAAAGTAACATGAATTTTGTTTTCTTTTCTAAATTGGCATGTATTTCACTGATTTCAGCAGTTTCGAAAGGCTTACATATCCTTTTACTCATGTGGACCTCAGGAATGTTGTGTGTTTTAAAACTGACTACTCTGTTTATACAAATAATCTAAGTTTCAGAAATATATTAACAATTTGATTCATCAGCTTCAGGTGGATCTAGAAGACCCTGGGTACTTGGAAAAGTAATGGAAAAGGAATACTGTCAGGCCAAGAAGGTAAAATAAATGGCATTATACATGATAGAGCTAGAAATTACAAGAAAAATGCTCTGTGTATTAATTGTTGCTAGTGCTACTGTGCTTGACCTTTCAGCTCACTTCACGCTGAGCTTAAATTTTGTGAGGTTGAATTTGAATCAATAATTTTGTAAATATTTGTTTTATCAGTTTGTAAGAAAAGCCCTGGTAGCATAGTAGTCATGTGTTGTGCTGCTACCTGCAAGGTCAGCAGTTCAAACGCACTAGCCGCTCCGTGGGAGAAAGATGAGGCTTTCGACTCCCAGAAAGACTGTCTCAGAATCCCACAGAAACAATTCTACCGTGTCACCATCGACACAATGGCAATGAGTTGGGTTTGGGTTTGGAAACCTCAGAATATATTAGCAATATGCACGTCTAAAGGGGGATGCTACTATAAATATTCTGTTCTCCAATTAGACTGTTCATGTGTAAAGGAAGAGTGGTGGAATCGCTGAGAACTAAGAAATGGTTTTTGGTTTTGTTTCTTGTGTGTGGGAGCCGGAGTGGGTAGAGTTGATGTTCTCTTATTTTTTGTACCTTATACTCATTGCAGAATAATAATGTAAAAAAAGATGTATAACTAAAAATTCTCCTGATACCAATGCCAAAAATATCAGTGCTGTAGAAGTACTGTACATTTACATTCCACTATAATTTGGGGACTCTCCTGCAAAACACCAAAATAACTTAAAACTGTTTCAATTGAGAGATTTTTGACACTCATAAATAGCACATTAGCCTGACCTTCAACTGAAATCCATATCCATGGTAATGACCTGTTTCTTCCACCAGTAATATTGGCTCAAATATCCTCAGGTGGTGGGGCTTGTAGTTTGTATAGTTTGCCAAAGATTCCTTCAGTACTCTAGCTAGAGAGGGTAGCATGAGGTGGAGGGAGGTGTTTGTGCAATCTATTTTAGTCATTTAAGTGATTCTGTGTCTTTTCCCCGTCTAGGCACAAAACCGATTTAAAGTTCCTTTGGGGACAAAGTTTTATAGAGTGAAAGCAGTGTCCTGGAATAAGAAAGTATAACACGAAGCAGAAACGAGCACCTGTGGGATTTCCCTGACCTAGCCAACAGTGCGCATTCATCACCCCCAAACCAGAAGGCCATCTTTTCCTACAGAGTCGGCGCGACTTAGAGTTTCCACTGGCTACATTCTAGGAACAATAAATTCATCATGAAAACCCCTGGCTGAATTAAAATAGTTTTGTGTTTGTTTGTTTATACCACCATAACTCTAGAAATGCGGACCAAACTAGTTCATTTTCTCAAAGGGCATATCCTGTGCATTGTGGCTTACAATTAGCCAAATTAATTGCCTGTTAAATATATATTAGCTTGAACTTAGATGTTAAATGTTAGTATTACTACCAGCATTTGTCCTTTTGTGAAAGCAGTATCAGATACTTGTACTCTTCAACACAGCCTTTATAAAATGTATAAATTCTTCAGAACTATTTAAAGAGTATTATTGCATGCAGATCATCATACTTTTGGGTTTGCCTCTGTAGATTATTAAAGCCCATTGTTTCATTTATTTTCTTTCAAATGCCCTTTGATGTTTCAAGAAAAAACTAAAGCAATTCTTATCTGATTGACTGATTTTTAAGGTCAGACATAAGTTTATCAGGAATCTTTAAAACATTTTCAGCGATTGGTCTTCTGAGCTCTAAAGGGAAGAATCTGCCATTGACTCTCTCAAATGAAGCCCTCAAGCCTTCCCTACTTTATTACTATGTTTAGAATAATCATATTGATGAAATCATAATTCATGATTGACTTTCAAAAAAAAGGAACTGTTCATTGTACATTAACCATATAGAGGTCATTTAAATAAAATATTGTATTGTAAAAGACATGTAGAATTTTAAAACAATAAAGATTTGAACCTGTAAATGTGTGTGCCTTTTAAAGAAGGATACATTCTAAATAAATTTGAGTGGCTGCTTAAAAGTGACGAAAATTGTTCTGTATCATGTCAGAGAGAAAGAAACATGTTTATTACAAATGTTCTTTAAGTATATACTGTGTAACAGGGTAAAGCTGTTTATTTTAATAGAATTGTATAAATTAGATCTGTAGAGAAGCCATTGACCACAAGGGCATTTAAATAAATTAGTTGAGTTAAGACAGCTCAAGTTTGTTGCTCACAAACAATGAGACACTTCTTTTTTCCGAAAATAATGCTTCCCCCCCCCCCAAAAAAAAATAAGTTAAATATTTTTTTAAATATGTATATCTGGTATTACAGAAATTGGAACAGTGTATAGAAAACTGAATTTGACAACATTCATGAATAAATGAGCAAATGATTTCATGTTTATATTTAATCCTTCTATGATGGCATCTTCATGCAAAAGATTAAAAGGCAATAAATTATATGCAGACTGTTTTTGTTTAAGCAGATTTGGTTGGGTCTTATTGAATCTACCAGATCAGCCATTTTAACTTAGCTGCAGGCCTTAAAATATAATATGGTCATTGTGCTGTGGATTATGGCAACATATCTATCGTGTCACTAGTGTTGTTCCTTAATGTTGGGTTTTGTTGCATCTACTTGTTTTAAATATCCTGTTTTATAATAACCCCATTACTTGTGAATACCTTTACAAATGAAATTTTCTAAAGAAAAATGAAGCACGGACATCAGAACTCTATGATTGGATGATTAAAGGCAATGCACATGAGCCTCTGAGTTGGGATGCCTGAGTTCTATTTCCAGATCTAACTATGGGCAAGGTGCATGAACTTTTCTCATTTATTAAATGCAGTAAATAAGGCCTCAGGATTATTTGGAAGATTATGTGAGAATTTCAAATTCAAAGTATTTGGACAATGTTAAGATGTTGCTAATCAATATAACTAAGCCTATTCCACTCCATAAAACGTGGTTTTCCTTATTACACAAATGTTTCATTGTACTTGAAGTAAATTTAATGCATATGTGAATTATATAGTTTTATTTATTTTGGCAAATGTACCTGGATGTCCTTAGAACAGAATAAGGAAAAACCATAAACTTTCCCTTTTTAAAATTTCTTTAAATTATCAAATTACGTTGATACCTCTGTTGGCAAATGGTTCCAAATTTGTATTTGAACCCTGAAAATTTCAAGAACTGAACATTTTTCCCATAAGAAAAGAAGGAAAACCAAATAATTGGTTCTGAGGCTCCCCAAATTACACTTACAAATTCATTTTTCCAGGACTTTAAAATCACTATTTAGGCTTTGAGCTTTCACACAGCACTCCCTGTCTCAGATACGTTATTGCATTGAGTTGTTTCTGATTTATCCAAATTAACAGTAACTCCAACCTCTTTAATGGTCTGGGTTCTTTGTTTTGTGGTTAATGATTTCAAACCTTTCTCTACATTAGCAGATTTAATCACATTTTTTTTTCTCTAAAAAATGTTGATAATGCCAATTTAACCATGTATTCAGCCACCGAACCTACAAGTGGTGACTTTATTCACATTTCGCAGTGATTTCTGTAACTCATGGTTCTCAGCTTTCCCACTATTCACACTAATTTTGTTTAGAGCTATGGTTATGTTTTATGCAAATAAAATCACACACAAAGCACAACGACAATGTTTGGATGTACTGAGAAGCATATATGTTGTCTGAGCAAAAGCAGCACTTAGACTGACGTGTCAACCCTTTGTGTCCCCGGGAAGACTTGACAAATGACTTTCACTCCCATACAGGTTTTTTTAAGTCGAATTTTTCTGTTTGACTATGCAACAAAGTCACAAATGCCAAGCAGCTTCCCCCTCACTCCCCGCCCCAAATTTTGCTGTTTGCCCAGAGATAGGAGCTCAACAACTGAAGTATCACTGTATTAACATTAATTTTCAGCCATTTTTGTTTATTGTGCACATCATAGACCATAGCTATAAGTCAGCTTACGTGTGATGTCTTGGTTCTTGCATAACCCTACGCTCCTGCTGCTGTCCTCGCTGATTAGGATTCGCAGCAAGACTCGGGTTCCAGAGTTGAATCATTAACAGTGATGGTTTCCCTTTCTTGCATAGCCCTTGGCTTTTCATTTAAGTTTTTGTGGTTTATTCCTTCTACTATTTGGGATCAGCAAGAATGTTTTGATTCTATTTAAATGTTTTTTTCATTGAATACTCTACTGAGTGCCCCTTTTCTCAGAGACCTTCATTTTTGAACCAGGAGTTTGCCTTGTGAGACGGGTTGTGCTCTCAGCATAAAAGTGAGAGCTTCTCTCCCTTCCACTCCCCCCCATCATATTATTGGGGGCTGGTACAACTTATTGCAATCCATACTATTGTGTCAAGTATATTTGTACATTTGCTGCCATCGTTTTCAAAACATTTTCTTTCTTGAGCCCTTGGTATCAGCTCATGTATCCCCTCCCTTGTGAGCCCTTGATAATTTATTTTTTCATGTCTTATGCTGTCCAATGTCTCCCTTCTCCCACTTTTCTATTGTCCATACCCCTGGGAGGGGGTTATAGGTAGGTCATTGTGATTGATTCTTCCTCTCTCCCCCCCAAACTTTCCCCTTATCCTCCTGGTATGGCTACTCTCAATATTGGTTCTGAGGGGCTTATCTCTTCTGGATTCCCTATGTTTCCCGATCTTATCTGTACCTGTGTACATGCTCTGCTCTATCCAGATTTGTAAGGTAGAATTGGGGTCATGATAGTGGGGGATGGGGTAGTTGTGTTTCATTGTTGCTACTTGCACACTGACTGGCTCATCTCCTCCCAGCAACCCTTCCATAAGGGAATTTCCAGTTGCCTACAGATGGACTTTGGGTCTCCACTCCGCACTCCCCCCTCATTCACAATGATAGGATGTTTTTTTGTTCTGGTCTTCTGATGCTTGATACCTGAGACTATCGACACCTCATGATCACAAAAGCTGGTGTGCTTCTTCCATGTGAGCTTTGTTTCTTCTCAGCTAAATGGCTGTGTGTTTATCTTCAAACCTTTAAGACCCCAGACACTACCTACTTGTATAGCCAAGCACCTTCAGTTTTCTTCACATTTGCTTATGCACCCACTTTGTTTTCAGTGATCCTGTCGGGAAGGTGAGCATCATGAAATGCCTGGTTAATAGAACTAAGTGTACTTGCATTGAGGGAGTAGTACTTGAGTGGAGGCCCAATGCCCATCTGCTACCTTAATCCAAAACCTATAAATATATGTACATAGATCTAGTTATTTCTGTATTGTCATATATAAATACCATTTATACTTTTGTATAAGCTGTTTTTCAGCACATTTTTAATGCAGTTTTGGTGGTAAAATTAGGTGCCTCAGCTGATACTCTGGTCAGCCTATACTCAAGTATATATGGTATATTTACTTATGTACATGCCTGTGTTTAGACCTCTATAAATGCCCTTTCCCCCTAGTTCTTTCACTTTCCTCTCGTCCCACTATCGTGTTCAGCCTTCATTTGGGTTTCAGTAATTCCTTTTGATTACATTGCCCTTGATCAAGCCCTACCAGGCCTCCTAGACATACATTTTCCTCACCATCGCTTTGACATCACTTGTTCCCTTGTTCCTGGGTTTGTTAACACCCACTTTCTTTCCCCTATCCCCCACTCTCCCATGTACCCCCAGCGCAATCTGTCCTGTTGTCCCACTCTCCCATGTACCCCCAGCGCAATCTGTCCTGTTGTTTTCTCCTAAAGATTGTTCCACCTTTCTTACCTAGATACACATACAGAGATAATATGCACAAAAACAAGACAGAGCAAAACAAAGCAACAAAAAGAAAAGTCTCCTTTAGGAGTCTGATGGGGTGCCACACCCTGGCCCCAAAGTCTATTGCTGGTATTCCATGGGGACTGATGCTCTGCTCCCCTGGCTGTTCTTTTGCATGACCTTAGTGTTT